AAGAATAAACGAATAACGAAGTAAGTTTACGGTATACCGGATAAACGTACGGTTTAATACGGTCGATAAACGTTAAACGATTAAACTCGAATTACTTACGTTATTATACGAGAACGGGGAAATAAAAAAGAAAGACTATGAAATTCTTATTATAATATCGTTTAAAAACTTATCTTTACTACGTTTTTAACGTTAAAGAGTTTTAAAAAATATATTAAAAAATAATAAGTAAAAGTAACTTTTAAACGAATAAACTACGATATATTAACGAATAAAAAAAGTTGTTAAAAAAGTTCGATTAACGATTTATAAACGATAAATAGTCGATAATTTTATAAAGTATTAAAGAAAAAAAGGAAAGAAAACGAGTTACGATTCTTTTATAAGTAAAAAATAATTTATTTAAAAAACGTTTATTAAGTTAAAAATAAGTAAAAAGTAAAAAGAGTAAAGGTAAACTATAATAAAGGTTTAGTCGAGTAATTAACTTTATACTTACGTACGAGAAAGAAACGATAAAAGTAAATAACGTTTATAAAAAAAACGATATTTACGAATAAACGTTTCGGGTAAAAATAACTTACGAATACTTATTATTACTTATTTATTATATAACTATACGTATACTTTATAAAAAACGACGACGTTAAATAATATTTATATTTTAACCGAAAATAAGGATATTTATTTAAATATCGACGTTTAACGATAAATAGTTTAAACACGTTTAACACTTTTAAACCTCGTATTATATCGGTAACCGATAAACCGGACTATTATATAATATAAAAGATTATAAAGTAACTCGTATACGAATTAACGGACTATTATATATAACTAAAAGACTAGTTATAACTTTTAATACTCTTTACCCGAGTAAAAGTAAGGAGATTAAAAAAGGTCGTAAAAAGAATTAAAGTTTAATTTATTAAAAGGGGAGAATAATTATTATAATCGATTCGTAACCGAAAACTATAAATCAAGTAACTTAACTTATATAATAAAACACGGTGTAACTAGTCCTTAACCACACACTAACGTTACGTTAATAAAAAACCTTTCTTTTTAAATAAAAGGACTCCCTTCTTTCCTTTAGGAAGAAGGGGTAAGAATTAGTCTTTATTATAATATACACCTACCTTCGTCCTCGAAACTAATACTTTTTATTAATTAATTTATTGTGAAAACCTATTTTAAAATCACTTATAATAGTTTACGAATATAAGATCGTTATTATAATAACGTTTATATAATAATAAATCGTTTTAAATAAATTTAATAAAATAGTACGTAAATATATTATTTTTAAAAAAAATATTACGGTTATAAAATATTAGTTTATAACTTTAACGGTTTTTATTTAAAGACTTATCCCGTTAATTACGGTTATAACTACAGTTATTATTATTTTAAAAGTCTTCTTTTAAATATACGTTTATACGATCGTAAAATTTATTTACGTTATAACGACGGTATAATTTACGACCGTCTTTTAAGTCGTCCCGTTTATTTTTATCACCGTTACGTCGGAATTTTTTATCTTAACCGTAGTTACGTTATTAAAACTAAGATCGGTAGTCGTTAATATTACCTTTAAAGTGGTTACGACTTTAGTTATAAAAGGGTTTATCGTATTATTTATCTCCGTTAAAAACGGGAACGGTGGTCGTTAAAATGATTATTTTAAACCGGGTTAACGTTAAACGTAACGTTAACTTCCGGTTAAATATAATTAATAATAATAAACGATACGACTTATTAATTCGTTTACGTAGTATTAAAAGAAAGAAAGGTAATATTTAAAAAAAAGTATACGTTTAATACCGTATAATAACGATTAAAATTATTTTATTTTAATAGTCGAGTAAAGATATACCGTAAAGTAGTTTATTAATAAATAATTAAAGTTTATAATATAACTAATTATATAACGTGTTTATAACGGTCTCGTTATTTTAATAACTTACGAGACGGTTGTACTACGTTATAAGTATAACCTTAAGTTTAAATACTTCCGTAAATTAAAAATTATCGGGAGTAACTATATTACGTTATAGTTATTATATAGTATTAGTAGATTTAATACGGAACTTATTTTTAAAAAGGGTTTTTTAATAAAGTAAACTTATAATTATTTAATACTTTATTTATATTAATAAGTTTTAATATTATTCGTATTTTTTACCGTTAAAACGGGTTTATAAGTTTTTAACGATAGTTACGTTAATACGGTTAAAAGGATCGTGTACTTTTTAACTCTTTATATTTTAAAGGAAGTTATTTATAAAACCGGTCGTATTACGTTGTTTTAAAAGACGGTGGTATAGTTAAAAACGGAGATAAAAAACGGGATAGTTTTAATATTCCACTTATTATTAATACGAATACTTATATCCTTTTATTTATTATATTCTTCGTATAATTAATCGTAACGGTCTATTTAATTTATTCTTTAAATAAAGAGTAATATTACTTAACCTTAAAGTTCTCCGTATAACGTTAAGTAAAAGAGATCGTCTTTAGTGTTAATACCGAAAGTTATTAAACCTTCGTAAAACGATAGTCGTCGAATACCGTAGTTTAAACCTATTTAAATAAAAGTACGTTAAAGTCCGTAAAAGTTCGGTAATTCGTTCGTATTAATAACCCGTCGTTTTATTTTAAAATACGTAAACTTATATCTTCGTATCTCGTTTTTAATTAACGTTATATAACGAGTAGTTAATAGTATTATTAATAATATATTATAAGTATAGTATTTAAAGACGGTTTAACCGGTTTTATATTATAATCGATTCGTAACCGAAGACCACGAATCAAGTAACTAGACTTACATAATAAGGCGCGGTGTAACTAGTCCCCAACCACACGCTAACGCCACGTTAGTGAAAAGCCTTTCTCCTTAAATAAAAGGACTCCCTTCTTCCCACCGGGAAGAAGGGGTAAGAATTGGTCTTTGTTATAATACACACCTACCTTCGCCCTCGAAACCAATGCTTTTCATTAACTAATCTATTGTGAAGACTTATCTTATAATCACTTATAATATTTTAAAACCTTTATTAAGTTAAGTTTTTAAAATTCGAACGATAACTATTGTTATCGAAGAGTTCGTTTTCTTCTTTATATAAAGAACCCGTAGTTTAGTTTAAAGAGACGGATATTATCGGTAAACCTATTAACGTTAACGGAGTAAGTAATAAAGTTAAAGAAACTATTATTTTACGAGTCGTTATAATTATTAAAGTAGACCGGTACTCCGTAATAAAGGTTAAAGGTTAAAAGTTAACGGATTAATTTTGAAAACGGTTTTTTATTATATATGTAATTACGGTTTTTAAAGGTTAACCACTATTACGTTAAACCGTTATAATATAAATCGAGTATATATTTAATTTCCGAAGTTATTAAAGAGTTTATTAAGTCGGTTACCTCGGTCTTTTTATATTTTTTTAAAGTTTTAACGATACTTATAATCGAAAGTGTCGTAAAAGGGTCGTCGTTATCGTCTTCGTTATCGAAAAGTTAGTCTTTAATAATTATAATAAAAGTTAAAGGTTATAAAACGTTTTTATAAAAAGTTATATTACTTTATAATATAATTATAATAGTTTCGTTAATTAAAAGTTATTAAAGTTAAAAGGTTAATTAACGGTAAAAGATATTATCGTTCTTCGTATTCTCGTCACTCGTCGTAATCGACACCGAATACTTTATATTAATAGTAAAGTGTTAGTTCGTAAACTCGTTAAGGTTTTAAATACGATTAAGATATTTTAAAACCGGTTCGACGATAACTCGTCGTCTTTAAATCCCGTTATAACGTTAATTAAGTTATTTTTTAAAACGTCGTCGTCGTTTTAAAGACCGTATCGAGTACTTTTTACGGGTTAATTTATTACGTTTAAAGTTATTTATTACTTTTTTTATATTAAAAAACCGTAAAACGGTAAATAAAAGTTTTATTAATAAAAAAAATTAACGGGGGTTTAACCGTTTATAAAGGTTTATTATAAAATACGTCGATAAAAACGTATTTAACGGTTTTTTTACGTTTTAATAAAAAGTTACGAATTATTTATCGTATTTTAAATAAAAAAGTTTTTATATAACCCTTAAGTAAACTTAATAATCGAAGTTACTTAAAAATAAAAAGTTATTACTAAATATTACGTTTAAACGTATTACGTTACTAGTTTCGAGATACTAAGTAACGGAATATAAAATAAGGTCTTACAAGTATCACGATTTAAAATACCGTACTATAGTGTAAGTCTTGAATAAGTGATGTGATAATATATATAATAAATGATTATTGATTCTGTAAACTATTTATATAAACTTGAGGTCGGAGAAAAGGTCTAATATAGCCGTCACATAACTTAGTTAAGCGGTACGTGACTTGGCGTGATACTAGACTCCCGTAAAGGGAGTCTGCGCGTGACAAACGCCCTACCTTATAAATATTCACACTATATCCCTTTTTACACTAAATTAATAAATATAATACACCATAGTACTACGTACGCGACGGTCTAATTGACTCAGTAAACGGAGGCTGTAGTCGTACACCGAGGAGGTGCCTTAGGTACTATAGTTAGTCAGATAGGCCTAGCGCCCGCCCGTATACCTAAGAGGGTCGTAGAATCACCTACACAGAGGCGGTTAAATAAACTAATCTCCACTAGATTAAGGCACATGCAGCACAAAATGTAAGGAAAGAACACTAAAACTCGACGTTACACGACGTATTATGGTTTTGTAGTTTGTTTGCCTTACTCCTGTATGAGAAATGAGGGGCAGAAAAAAAATCTCCCACGTCTTCCAACGCCACCCAAGCAAGTTTCGCAAAGCAAGAGGCTAACTAGTTATGATCAAAGTCCGACCCTCTAATTGACAGGCGGATTTTGCTATTTCTATTATTCCGACCCTCACACCTGTGACCACCGGGCGAGTTTCCGACACATATCAAACAACTTTTGCACTACTCCGTAACCACTATGGACAGTGGCGACCCCAGCAAGCCCACAGGCGAGGAGGAGGAAGCTGATCTTTACAGTATGTCGGTCTCCGGTACCTTGCCGGCATATGTTGAGACGAAGTAAGACTTGCTGACTTGGGGTCCCAGACTTGCTTGGTGTTGAAAATTCAGCGACAGCAAGTGAAATTAAAAAGGCGTATCGAAAGGTGAACTAGGCGTGGCTCCGAAACAACCGTACGAGCCTGTATGTATGTAAAGGATCCAGTTACTGATTTAAATGTGTCTCATTAGGCTGCACTACTGTACCATCCCGATAAGGTACCTAAAGACCAGAGGGCAGAATCCGAAGTCAAGTTCAAGGCCGTTACCCAGGCGTACGAAATTCTCCGCGATGATGAAAAGAGGAAGCTTTATGACCAATACGGCATGGCTGCCTTCGATTCAACCCGGGGTGGGCCAGGTGACGCCGGCGTCGACTTGAACGACATGCTGGCGCAGATGTTTGGCATGAACGTTGGCGGTGGCGCCGGTGGCCAGAGGCGCCCGAGGCGAGGTCGTGACGAGGAACAGCAGTATAAGGTCACCCTGGAAGAACTATACAAGGGTAAAACGGTCAAGTTCGCTGCAAACAAGCGTGTGATCTGCAGTCAGTGCAAGGGCTCGGGCGCAAGGGAGAAGGTGAAGCCGCAGCAGTGTGATAGGTGCAAGGGTGCCGGCGTACGGGAAGCTTACCGCCAAGTTGGGCCCGGCCTTATCCGTCAAGAAGTACTGCCTTGTGACAATTGCGATGGTACTGGGATGTTCTACAAGGAGAAGGACCGTTGTAAGAAGTGCAAGGGTAAAAGGACTGTTGAGGAGACGAAGGCGTTGGAAATCTATATTCCTCGTGGGTCCATGCAAGGCGAGCACATTGTTCTTGAGGGCGAGGCGGACCAGTTTCCTGACCAGACTCCCGGTGATATAGTTTTCACCTTGGTGGAGGAACCACATGAGATCTTTACTCGCGTTGGTGACGACCTATCTGCGGAGCTCAAAGTGACTTTGGCAGAGGCCCTAGGGGGGTTTGCCCGGGTTGTACTAAAGCACCTTGATGGCAGGGGCATTCACCTTGGGCACCCTCGAGGGAAGATCCTGCAGCCTGGTGAGATCCTCAAGGTGGTAGGGGAAGGTATGCCGAGGAAGCGAGGAGAGGAAAAGGGAGACCTTTACTTGAGCGTGAAAATTACGTTTCCGAATGCTGGCTGGCTACCAGATGACGATGCATATGAGACGCTCTGTAAACTTCTCCCTATTCCAGAACCGTCGATATCTGCCGAGGAGGTCGACGAAGTCGAGTACGAGACTAATGCTGACATTGAACAGGTAAGTTCGTTCATGTGCGTCTGCTTCTCGGCTTAAACTATGACTGATTTTGTTTGTTCCAGATGGGAGGCCACTCGTACCATTCAAGACCTGGTATGGTTTGGGAGGACGAGGACGATGATGAAGACCAGAGTGGCCCACAGTGCGCGACTCAGTAAGGACTGTGTGAATCCTACCGTGTAATGTTTATACGGTGGTTAAAGTTATAATTTAATTTTATTATAACGTAAATAGTTACAATTAATCCCTTAGATAAAGTAACAGAATAAATACTAAAATCAACTAAGTGATATTATTATAAATACGATTCTTACTTAAAAAAGGTACGTGACTTTTGTTAAATGGGAGCTTAACATTATACCTAACGTTACGAAATTAATATGTAATATATAATATTAATATAGTAATATTAATGTAATATTTTTCGTCGAATATTAAATTAATATACTATAATTAATATTAATATCATATTCTATTATATATAATATATTATATGTAATATTAATAAAGGTATATATTAATTATATTATATTACAGTTAATATTATACTAATATATATTTAAGGTTAAGACTTAACACAACTAAGTGTAAAGGAATAAGTACCTAAGGCCGAAATCGGACGACCGTAAGTATAACTCAGTAAAAAAAAAGAAATAAAAAAAGATAAGAATTTAAGTATATTAAAGTTCTCGAAACTTTCGTTTAAACGACTATTCTACGATACGTGGCCGTTCGTAAAAGGATTCTTATATATTCCATTTAAGTGGAGAAGTTTATAGAGTTTTTATAGAGTCTTTTTAGTTTCGTCGTCGGTCGTGTTAGTATATAAGTGATAATAGAACTTGTTAAAACCTTTTTTTCCGTTTTATATAAGATTAAAACTTTTATCGAGTTTTTAACCCTTTTTAGTTATATAAGTAAGATTAATAAGTAATAACTTACCGATTCTTTTTCTTTTTATATTATTCCTTTTTTTTAAAAAAAATATCGTTTTAATATTAAAAAAGGTTAAGGTTTTATTATACTTAAGTTTACTATTACGTTTAAATACGTAGTACGTTACTAACTTCGAGATACTAGGTAACGGAATAAGAAATAAGATCTCACATATATCACGATTCAAAATACCTTACGATGGTATAGGTCCTGAATAATAGTATGATATAATATGTGATGAATGATTGTTGATTCTGTAAACTATCTATATGAATTTAAGGTCGGAGAAAAGGTCTAATATAACCGTTACATAGTTTAATTAAACGGTACGTGACTTGACGTGATACTAGACTCTCGTAAAAGGAGTTTACGTGTAATATTTACGATAGAATTAAAATTAATAGTCGATATATTTATATTAAAGTAATAGTATAACTTACGTATTAAAGTTATCGTATAATAATTACCGAGTTTTACGTAAAGAAAACCTTAATAAAGGAAAACTTTATTTAATATAACGACGGTATACGGTTATAACGTATTCGTTTACGGGGTTTAACTTTTTAAGGTTTTTTTTAGTTTAAAGACTTAATATCGGTCCGTTTTCGTAGTTAATAATTTAAATTTATATATATTAATCGTTAATTATTTTATAATTAATCGGTATATAATAGTTTTACTTATAAAACGACGGTGGTTTATACGATATTTATTATAAGTGATTATAAAATAAGTCTTCATAATAAATTAGTTAATAAAAAGCATTAGTTTCGAGAACGAAGGTAGGTGTGTATTATAACAAAGACTAATTCTTACCCCTTCTTCCCGGTAGGAAGAAGGGAGTCCTCTTATTTAAGGAGAAAGGCTTTTCACTAGCGTGGCGCTAGTGTGTGGTTGGGGACTAGTTATACCGCGCCCTTTTATGTAAGCCTAGTCACTTGATTCGTGGTCTTCGGTTACGAATCGATTATGATAATATTAATTAAAATTTAATCTTTTAATTAAAACGTCTTTATTTAATTAACTCGTGTTTAAATCTATTAGTTATTCGTTAACGACTTATAAGTTATTATTAAGGTTAAGAATTAGTTATATTAAAACTATTAAAACTAAATTTAGTTTTTTAATTATATTAAAACTAAACAACTAATTCTTAACCTTATATATAGTAAATAAATTAATATATTACGTATTTAACTTAAATATATTAAATTAAAACGTTTTCGTATAATTACCGTAAAATAACATTTAAAAAGTAAATAATAATATTATTTAATACAACTAAATTTAGTAGAGGGGGTTATTAAAACTAAATTTAGTAGTATTAAATTTAGTTGTTTTTCTTAACAACTAATTTTAGTACTACTAAATTTAGTTTTTTAGTTGTACTAAAACTAAACAACTAATTCCCAACCCTAGTTATTATACCGTTAAATACGATCGTCGTTTATAAATTAAACCGATTTTAACTAAACCGTAAAAATAAAAAGGTAGTTATTTTAAAAGATTTGTTAAAAGTGTACGTACTCTTTCCTTTAATAGTCGACGACCCGACGATATATATAAAGTCGTAAATAAATCGTAACTAATATAAAAGATTTATTTTAAATATACCGGATACGGTAGTATTTAAAAGTAAATAAAAGGTTAAACGAGAGTAACGGTAAAAAACGACGAAAACTAAACGAACGTTTAACGACTAGTTTAACGATAAATATAAATACTTTTTATACCCTTTTATTTTACTTTTACTAACTCTCTTTTTTATATATATTAGTTATTAATAATTCGACGTTTATATAATACTTTTTCTTACTTTATTAACTTTTAATAATATTACTTTTTTCGTCTTTTATTCGTTAACGTCTTTTATTTACGTCGTAACTAAAATACTTAATAGTCTTTTTATAAACGACGAGTATAGTAAAGAAAAGGTGACCGTAACTTTCACCTTCGACGAGACTACGGGTTAAAAGTTAAGGTTTAAACGGTCTAATAAAAGTATAAGTTTTAAAAATAGTCTTTATATCGACGATAAGTTAACGAGAAGTAAACGCCGTATTTATACTACGTAGTCCGGTCCGGTTAAAATCTCGTTATTAAGTTCCTTTATATACGGGTTACTGGAAAGGATATTTATATAAAGTACTCGATAAAGGGTAAAAGTTACTATTCGGTAAGTTTTAAACCTTTTTACGATTAGTCGTCGTTATATTAACTTTTTTTTTCACTAAGTTTCGAACGACTTATATAAGTTATATTAACTCGTATAAAATTCTTAATAAAACCTTTAATTAAAATACGAAACTTATAAAAATTAAAGTAAGATTATAATTAGTAAAGTTAAAACGAAGGAAGTTATTTTACTTTATATTAAAATCTTATTAACGTCGAATACGTTACGATATACTATTAACGTCTCGTCGACCGTTACTTTAAAAGTAAAGAATAAAGTTATTTATAAAACGACGAAGTCCGTCGTTCTCAATACCGTAACGAATAATAAACTACTTCGTTTATAATACCTTTTTACGTTATCGTTTATTAATCTTAACTTATTCTTAAACGAATATAAGTTAAAAGTTAAAGACTTTTTTAAATAAACTCGTTTTATAAATAAGTTTACTTTTATTTAAAAGTAAACCGACGTTAAAAAAACTTTTACTCGTTTTATAAATAACTTCTTTTTATCTCCGATCGGTTTACGACTTATTTTTACTATATATAAAAGAATAGTAATACTTTATATAATAATTCGTAACGGTTTATATAAAAATTTATAAAGGGTACTTTTAACGTTTACGACGTTACGAAAACGGGTAAACGATTAATTATAATATATAACTATATTAAAACCGGTCTTACGTTTATTCTTTAATTCTTTTCTTTTTTTATTCTTAATAAGAAAAAGACTTGGGTTACTCGGTCCGGTTAAGTTACGTTTTTTCGTCGTAAGTTTTAAACTTATAAAAGATTAATTAACGTTAAGTAAACGACTAGTAAAAGAGTTTAAGTGTTTAAAGTTTAAGTTTTTAAAAGGGATTAAAGTAATACTTAATAATAACGATAAATTAACGATAAATAGTCGATTAAAATAAGTTTAAGACTTAGTTATAATATTTTTTACTTTTTATACTTATTTATAACTTTTTTAAAGTAACGAGAAAGAATAACTTTTACGTTTTTAAGATTTTATATTAATTCTTACGTATTATATTTAACCGGTTAACCTTTTTACTTTATAAAGTATTCGATCGTAAATTAATCGTTTTTATAAGTAACGATATCCTTTACTTTTTATTCCTTTTATTCTTTAATAAGTTTAAGTAGTAGTATTAAAGACTAATAAACGACTTTACTACGATCCGACTACGGTTTTATAAGTAAAACTAAGAATACGTTATAAAGACGTACGTATTTTATAAGTAGTTATAACTTATACGTTTAAGTTTTTATTCTTTTTAAGACTTTATAAAACCTTAATAAACGTAGGATTAATTTTACGATCGACGACGAATAAGAAATTCTTCGTCGATAAACCTATAACGTCGTTTATAATATACTTTTAATATTCGTATTGTTTATTATAGTGTTTTTATTAAGTAACGATTTATTAATCCTAATACTTCTTTATCTTTTAACGAGTAACGTTTAATCGTCGTAACCAGGGTTGGGAATCAGTATATTAGTATTAATATTCATACTAATACTAATTTAGTATACTAAAACTAATTTAGTATACTAAATACTAATTTAGTATTAGTATTTTAGTATTAGTATAGATTTTTCAATACTAAATTAGTATTAGTATTTTTAGTATTAGTATTTAAAAAATTAGTTTTAGTATTCTTAGTATACTAAATTAGTATTAGTATAAATACTAATACTAATTTTTTTTAATGAAAATTCGTTTATTATAAAATAATACTTTATTTATATAATATAACGTATTTATTTTTAAAATTAAAAGTATTTATATAATTATACGTCGTTATTAAAACCGGTAATAATAGTACTATTATAAAGAAGTAACTACGTTTATTTCGTATAAAAATAATTTATTTTAAAAAGTAGTGTTTTAAAGTCTCGAATTTAAAACTTTTAATATATTTTAAAAAGTTAAAAAAACTACTTTATTAAAATTACATTATATATATAAATAGTAACTATATAACATTTAAACAGTTAAACGTAAACCCTTAAAACTGGTAATAATAGAATT